GATGTCCACTGGGCCAACATGGCCCTGCTGACTGGACAGAGTCCTTTCCTCCCAACACATTGGGTCTGTCACACCTCGTAGATTATAGGTAAAAACAAGATCTGTTGGTGCTTTCTGCTTAAGAGTTCTTCCTTTCCCATGTAATCAGGGCTATAGTCAACCAATGGGACAGACACAATGCTATGCCATGCAAGGGACATACATCTAATAGCTCAAATAAGGGTACCTTTGTAAAAATGTCTTCTGGGCTCTGCATTTCTTCTGAATCAAATCCAAGATCCCCTGAATTTGTAGAGATGATGCTCAATTTATCTTGAGTTTGTCTGCAAAGCAAAGAACCCTAAAAAACAGCATGTAGTGCTCTAGAGCAACATAGAGAAGATATAGAAGACATATGAGACATCTAGAATTATGGACATATACAAATAGTTTTATTAAAAACATGTTAAATATTATTACCCAAAGATTACCATTAGGTGATTGATTAGTTTTACCAAATGTTTAACTATATTACAAAGCTATAATAATTTAAGTTGTGTGGTACATGCAGGTGAATAGTCAGACAAATCACTAGAACAGAAGGTAAAACCAAGAAATAGACCCAAATAGATATGGAAATTTAGATACAATTTTAAAAACATGAATTATTTAATCAAGTATTATAATACCTTGTTATCCATTTGGGAAAAGATGAACTTGATCCTTACCTTACTATTTACACAAAAATTTTAAATATATCAACAATATAAACATGGAAAATGAAACCATTTAAATATTAAGAAGACCCATGCGACACATTTTAAGTTAAACTATATTACAAAGCTATAATAATTTAAGTTGTGTGGTACATGCAGGTGAATCAATAAAATATATTTTTTTAAAAATGGAGGGAATAGATGGACATATTTGTATAACAAGATGGTAAGAAACAAGATAAAAGAAAGGCATAACAATGGCTGCCTCTAGGAGAACAGATCAAACAGTGACCTCCAGATTCAAAGGTCGACGCTCAACCACTGAGCCATGCCAGCTGGGCCAATTTTTAAATAATTTTTGAGTAGGAAGATCTTTCTAATAAGATAGGAAACCCAGAAAATGAAAGAAGGAAATAAAAATTTCATGACAAAAACCATCATACAAAAGGCAAAACAAAAGAGAAACTGGGGAAATGGGGTGGGGAATATTCACAACATGTATTGTTGACAAGAGTTTAATTTATTTAGTATATAAAGAACTCTTACAAATCACTAAGGAAAAGAATAAACAGCCCAATGGAAATAACAGTTTACAGAAAAGGAAATATAAGTGGCTCTTCAACCTAACTCAGATTAAAAGAGATGCAAATTAAAATTACACTGGGAGTCACTTATCAGATTGACAAAGATCAAAAAGTCCATCACATAGCCCTGCTGGAGTGGCTCATTTGGTTGGGCATCATGCTGTGCACCAAAAGGTTCCCGATTTCGATTCCCAGTCAGGACATGTGGGGAGAGCAGCATATAGATGTTTCTCTCTCCTCTGTCTCTCTCCCCTTCCTCTCTCTAAGCATGCCCTCGATGAGGATTTAAAAAAAAAGAAAAGACTTTCACACAGTCCATTCACAAGAGTGTGAAGAAATAATGATGCACTGCTAGTACGAGAATTGATTGTTACAGCCTCCAGAGAGAAGTATGGTAACATCTAATAAGGCTATGCACGTACTCATTGACCTGAACTTTCCACTTCCACGTATGTCATTACACCAATGTGTAATAACAAAAGTTTGGAAACCTTCTAAATGCCTGTCAATAGTACAGCCACACAATGACTACTATATATATGAAATACTTTTTTTTAACATATTGATATGGAAGAATCTTTGAGACATATTTGGTGAAAAAGTAAGGAGCAGAACAGGGTTTAAAATATGCTACCATTTGTTTAAAACTGGAGGGAATAGCTCTGGCTGGTGTGGCTCAGTTGGTTGGAGCATCATCCCATACACCAAAAGGTCTTGGGCTCGATTCCTGGTCAGAGCACATACGTAGGTTGTGAGTTTGGTCCCGGTTGGGGTGCGTACGGGAGGCAACCAATTAATGTTCCTCTCTAACCTCTCTCTCTCTCTCATCAATAAACATATCCTCGGGTGAGGATAAAAAAATGGAGGGGATAGATGGACATATTTGTATAACAAGATGACAAGAAACAAGATAAAAGAAAGGCATAACAATGGATGCCTCTAGGAGACCAAGGGAACAGGATTAGGTGGCTTTTCACTGAAAGTACCCTTTCGCACCTTGTGAATTCATAACCTATGGCTTATTAAATATTAAAATTTATAACAAAAATAACCAGATAACTCTGAAACAACCTGTTCATTTTGGTACATTAATCATGGTGATATCACAAAACAAAGCTATTTCTCAAACTGGTGTTGAGACACTTAAACGTGTGTTGACGCATAAGCAAAGCCATCATCATGACCTACTTTATCACTGTATTTGACACCAAAAGGATCATGGACCAACCCAATACCTGCTTTTTTAGGGACTTTCAATCCAAGATAGAATAGAAATATGTAGTAGAGTGTAGGGAGCGGCTATAGGGTCAAGCCTCGGAAAGATCTGTGGCAGAGCCACATACAAATCCCCTCTGGGAGGGCAGAGCCCTCCTAGCACAATTAAGCTTGACCTTATAGTTCTCCTTTGTTCCTAGGTAGCTAATGGGCTGTGGGAGGTGCAGCAAGTGCTGCCAAAACAAGGCTTGAGTAACAACCACTCCCCTTATTTTGCTTTGTGTGATCTGACTATAAAATAAAGCTTCGGCTTACAGGCTATGTCACTCATCCAGACACAGTGATCCTACCTAACCCCAACTGTATTCTCTTGTCTGTCTTCTTTAATCCTTCACCGCTCCTCCGCAGGTTCACCCTGGCTATGCTGGACGGGGTTCAGTAGAGAGGACGATGAAAACACCAGAGGAACCAGTGCACCCTGCCCCTCAGTCTGCCAGTACCTGGAACCATCCACCTCTGAAGTCCTACATTCAGACCTGCTACCACCTTGCTCACCTAGCTCTCGTGTGGCATGAATCCCAGCATAGCAGTTCTTTAACCCCAGGAGGACCTACAGACAACTATAAGTCCCTACTGTCATCAATTACTTGAATTATCCAACTGAGATTTCATCATTTCAGTCATTCTCTTACCAATATCCTCAGCCTCCTGGCACTTTTGTCTTTCTGCCCCAGAGGCTGATAAACCCTGCCTGTCTTTTCTGTGCAGCTGGCTGATGAGAACTGCTAAAGAAAAATTACATCCCTTGCATGTTGATGCCATTATAAACACAGGGTGGGGGAAAAGTAGGTTTACAGCTGTTAGTATGTGAAACACAGAGTTTATTCTTGTATTGTTATTTATTAATTATTGTATTATTTTCCATATGAACAACTGTAAACCTACTTTTGTCCCACCCTGTACATAGCCACCAAATCACCCAGGGCCTCCAATAAAACTGTCAATCTGTTTTTATTTCTTAATCTCCACAATGATTATTTCAAACATTTACTACCCTTCTTAAACTTCTTGCCTACCCCCCTCAATTTCAGCAAGTTTTTTGGTGCACATATGCATGC